CAGCATGAATCTTTCTGGTAGGGCATGGCCCTTAACGTGGCACTGCTTGCTCTGCCACCTTCTTTAAGGCCAGCCTTTCAGACGTATCCCGAGGGCTGTTCGCGTTGCCACATCTAAACAGGGCCCCAAAGGAAGAGAAAATGAGAAGAGAAACTCCTGCCTAAGCCTGAAGCCTGAGACATGCCTGAAGCTCGTGCAAGGAGCTGCTGGGGAGGCTGTGAAGCAGAGCCTGAAAGGCTGCTGCTAATGCAGTTGCTGCCATTTGCCTCAGCCCCAAGGGCACGTTTGCGGCAGGGCCATGACACAGCCGTGCTGAGCAACCTGTGCCGGCCCTCGTGCTCCTTTCTTCTGCCCTGTCCTTCCTCTTTCCTTGCGAACGCTTCCAGAGGAACACTGGAAACAAGAAAGCCCCTTCCCGGAGGAGCAGCAGTATATTCCCACCCAAATCTCTCTGTCTGGAGACACTAAAAAGCTGCAACACTTTCAGGTGAGGCAGAGGTAACTCAAGGTGCTCAACAACTTCATCAGCATCAGAGGCCGTGCAAGAGATGGACCACAAAGCCAAGGCGACGGCCAGCCGCCGGCCACTTCTCCGTGCCAGCGCACCGAGGGACAGCTCTGCACGCTGCCGGGCTTCGCTCTCGCACTCCACCGTCACGCTTCCAACGATCGCGCCGGCATCTTCTGACGTACTGAACTACCCTAGAAAGCGTAGCTCATGGGGAACTACTGTCGCCCCGAGATTTCACAAGAGAATGGATGCGTGTCTTTTGTGTCTCAGAGTCATGAGGCAAAGGACTTCCACCCTGACCCTGTGTGCGGCCACGGACAAGGCTCTTATCCCCTCCGTGCCTTGATTTCTCCCCCTCTAGCAGAAAAAGAAAACCGCTCCACTGATCTCCTGGCAATCCTAAATATCGCTACCTCCCTGGTTTCTTCATGTCACTGCTTCCTGATATATACAGCACTCTCTGTCAGAAGGGCCTCGGTTTTCCCTAAGCAGGACACAAACCCAACAAAGCTTGAGGCAATTTTCCACCCAGCCACGCTCCCGTGTGTTTTAACACAAGCAGAACAAGTCCACCCAGTGCAGATGCTCCTGACAGGTTAAGCCTGGGAGAGGTTTTCCTTCATTTTACAGACTCCCCCAAAGGGTTGCAGAGCCCTGCCTAGCACAGTGCAACAAGACCACAACTCAGCAGGCTTCAAATTGATGGGTCGTTTGTACCAGCTCTTTTTTACAATTTCTGTAATTTTTTTGTTTGAGTGGCCATTGTATAACTTTCTATCAGAGGACACCAGAGTACACAGACAGTGGGCTTAGGACACAAATGAGCTTTCTTGACTCTGTAGCGTTACTGGGTTATTTACTTACTTCTGTGTACTTCATGCTTTAACGACTACTCTCAGGGGCTTGCGACTGCTGTAATTCAGCAATGACTAAGCCCAGAGAAGCCTCCAGCCAAGCTGCAGATAGGTTGTTATCCCCGGAAAACTTTTATAAAGCAAGATCACCCAGAGAAGAGTTTAAAAAGCTTGTGGAGGCAGAAGTGCTGGTGAGGGAAGAGTCGGTGAAGTGACATTGGGTCCCGAGAGCACCAGCCGGTCATTATCGGTAGAGGCACCGTTGGCCATCCCGTGTACTTGAGCAGTGCCATACATCAGCACGCACAGCGCTGTACGCATGCCTGCTCGGAGCCACTCCCTGGCTTTGGGGTTTATATGGTGACGAGAGATGGGAGCAGGAGTTTTATTCCATTCCTTCCTTCAAATGTGGTGCACAAAGAGCAAATGACTGGGCAAAGGTGGGAACAGTCACCATGTGCCGAGTACTAACCCGTCAGAGCACAAGACCGTCCTTCCTCCGCACTCCCTACCCAGTGCCATCCTCCCTGCCTGCAGCCCTGGGCATCACAGTCCAGGTGTTTAGGAGCAGGGAAGCCTTGGAGGGAAAGATGCAAATGCTGGGAGGAAGAGCTTCAGCCCTCTGCAACCTCCTTCCACAATGCGGTTCTTTGCTGGGACTAGGTGAGAGCGCGACAAAGAGCAGAGACAGTCGTGATTCATACACCTTCTGTTCTCTGTTCAAAGCAAACGAAGAGGCACCAACCTGCAATGCGGAAAGCGTGATCCTCCTGCCCAGTGCTCTTCCCGTTCTCAATTTCACACACATTCAGCTCTTTCAAAGGCAGCAGTCCCTGCATGAGAAGAACACACCATTATTTTGGGGGACAGCCTGCAGGCAGGCTCTGCAATTAAGGCCCCTTTGCCGTAGGAGACTGGAAGTCCAGACTCGGCAGCAGCAGGTTGCTGTGGCTCACAATGTTGGATGGCAGAACGTTGCTCTGAGGGGAAACAGGACTTTGATCCAGTCCACTCC